TCTTCAGCTATTTAGGGATAGAACACAGGCATCCACTGTGAGCTTATCTGTTCAAGCTAGGCCACCAGCTTTCAGGAGCCCAGGGGTTTATGCTTGGGGACCAGGTTTTTGCTGCATCAGTCAGGGAGGAAAGCTCAGGTGTGGCCCCAGGCAGTCTGGAAAGAGAGTGTTCTTTTCATAAGCTGCCATACACCGGGCTGTAGCCTTACTGCTTAAGAGGGAATGTTACCACCCTGGTCTTCCCCGGGGCACAGGAAAAGCTGCTGGGTCTTGGGTTTGGGCCCAGAAGGCCTTGACCTTGTGGGTCCTGTGCCTCTTTCTTGGAGCTATACATGTGGATGATGGGGCCACCTGGCCACTCTGTGCCCCCCAGAGCAGATGGGCCGCATCCTACAGCGCACAGCCATCTCTACCAACATCAAGGAACGCCTCGACTTCTCCTGTGCCCTCTTTGGGCCAGATGGGGGCCTTGTCTCCAATGCTCCTCACATTCCTGTGCACCTGGGTGCTATGCAAGAGACGGTACAGTTCCAGGTGTGGTGACAGTGCCATCTTTCCTTCTGCCCCCTCCCTTGCCCCATGACCTCACCTCCCTTGTTCACTCTGTGTACGTCTCCTGGTTTCAGATTCAGCACTTAGGAGCCGACCTCCATCCTGGTGATGTGATGCTCAGTAACCATCCCAGTGCAGGGGGCAGCCATCTTCCCGACCTGACTGTCATCACACCGGTGAGGAAGTGCTACCTTGACTAGTGTTAGGGGGACAGAGGTTTCTGGGGCCGCTGACAGCTGCTGTTCACTCCTTAGGTGTTTTGGCCAGGCCAGTCGAGGCCTGTGTTCTACGTGGCTAGCCGAGGGCACCACGCAGACATTGGAGGCATCACGCCGGGCTCTATGCCTCCTCACTCCACCACGCTGCAACAGGAGGGCGCTGTTTTTCTGTCCTTCAAACTGGTCCAGGGAGGCGTCTTCCAGGAAGAGGGTGAGTGAGTCGGCAAAGGGTCACGGTGAGGAGTTGGCAGGCAGGGATGCGTGGCTGCTACCGGAAACAAGGCTGGGCAGAATCCTGATACAGCTGATATCAGCGCAGGCCTATCTTGCAGCTTGATAGAGACAGTAGTGACCTCTCAGGGCAGCCATAAATCATCTCAGATATGCAAAAGAGCTCAGGTGACTTCTATCTGGACCAAAGATGACCTCCTAGAAGGTGATTTTGGGGTGGGGAATTGGCCAAGACACCCCAGGGAGTAGAAGGTAGAAGAGGTAGTTTCAAGGTTGGCAACTGTTGCAAGCTACGCTGGGTGTTGAGGCTACAGAATCCCAGGGAGCTGTCTAGGTCTGGGTCTCAGTCACTGGGAATGGAGCAACTGGGTTATGATGATCGGCTGGTACGCGTACCTACAGAGTAACCTTAAGGGTGGCCAGAGGGGACAGCTGCAGTCACCCTCAAAGATGGTGGGCATCCAGAAGGTAGAGGGTGGAAGGAACTGTTTGGGAACTAAAGTTTATACAATCTAGAGATTGTGGGGTCAGGCTTGGATAGCTACAGGATGGAGCAGCTACAGGCAAGGTGAAAGACTGGGAGAGACAGCCTTGCTCAGAGGCCATAGGGGTCTGAGAACTCAAAAAGGCATCCTGGAGTTGAAGTGAAGAGGGCATGGTAGAGAGTGTGGGTAACCCACAGGCATATAGGGTAACCTTGTCATGCAGAGCTGCAGTGGACCATGGAGACACAAGTGTAAATACATGGCTGAGAGCCCAAAGGGCCAGTAGACCTCAGAGAAGGCCTGATGGAGGCTGGAAAGTGAGGGCTTTTCCCCAGGTGTGGTATATTCTTGGGGTTAGATGACACAGCTGACAGGAGTAGGAGGAGAACCTTGTCTAAATAGAAGAAAACTGCAGGAAGACAAAAGGACTTCCTCGATAGTGCTTGATAGGAATAATCTGTATGTTTGCCTGAGTGCACCACATGTATGCAGGTGTCCTTGGAGATCAGAAGAGAGCATAAGATCTTTGGGGATTGAAGTTAGTCACAGGCAGTATGAGCCCCCTTGTGTGGGTGCCGGAAACCAGCCCTGGATCCTCCTCAAGAGCATCAAGTGCTGTTAGGGGCTGAGCCCTGCATAGCCAGTGGGAGTGGGCAGGACATAGAGCAGACAGGATATGGTGTGTGTGGTCATGCAGCAGACTTTTACTACGAGATGTAGAGGGAAGTGTGAAAGCATCTTACGTTCGCCTGATGTAATTGTCATCTCCAAGGCTTACTGTCTTAGTCTGCTAACCTAGGCCTAGTCCTCAAAGCGTCTAGCCTCAGTACAATCCTATCTAGGCCTCGAATGTTTTCAGCCTTTAAGACTGGCTGCTAAATAAGGTCACCCTTTCTAGTTGTTTCTGATCTCTGTCTATCCAGTTCAACTCAGTTTTTCTGGCTCCAACTCCTCTCCAAGCTGACTGAGTCAATCTGACTTCTCTCAGCCTCTGACTGAATTGCTCTGCTTGGCTTCATACTAACTTTGGCAATATGTCTAATCTTCTGGCTCCTTCTCATTCTCTGGTTTGTTCTGCCTTCACCTGTGTCTAGCTTGTTCTCTCTCTGCAGCCTGTCTCTCTGTAACTGTCCCAGTAAAAGTGCCTTCTTCTCCCTCTCCCTCTGTGCCATTCTCTCTTAAGTAGCTTCCCTTTCCTCTCTCTCTCCGTGAGAGTTTGTCATATCCTATTCTGTCCAATCTCTTGTCACTTTGCCTGCAGCTCAAATTAGATGTCACTTTCAAACATGGCTGCTTCCTTCTACAATCTGACTTTACCTTCACTACTTGGAATTACAGGCCTGTGGCTCCCTAAATGCTGGGATTAAAGGTGTGTGCTGGAGCCGAGCCACACAAGAAACAGTTTTGTCAGTAAATAACACAATCTCAGGGTTCATAGTGTTATCAAATACTCTGCAAGAGGGGAGCCTAGAGAAGGCAGATGGGTGAGCTTGCTAAGGGATGAACCCACCCTCTTCCAAGCCACCTCCAGCTCCAGGGAAGTCTTCGGCACAACTGCTTGCCAAAGGTGCTCTAGATGCTGGGCTGCTAAGAGGGCTCAGCAGAAGGATGGAACCTACAGTTTTCAGAGTCCAGGAGTTTGCAAAGTGTGGGCGTATGTGTGTGTGTGTGTGTGTGTGTGTGTGTGTTGTGGGGCATGTCAGCAAAAGGTCAATAGGGAGCTCCCAGTGTCCAGTGTTCCTGTGGTTATGGAGCAGGCATGCACAGGCATCTGTTCTGAGGGTAGGGGAGATGACTCAGTTTGTCACCCTGTCCATCCAGCGGTGACAGAGGCCCTACGAGCACCAGGCAAGATCTCTGGCTGCAGTGGAACCAGGAACCTGCATGACAACCTGTCAGATCTTCGTGCCCAGGTGGCAGCTAACCAGAAAGGCATCCAGCTGGTGGGAGAGCTGATCGGACAGTATGGCTTAGATGTGGTGCAGGCCTATATGGGCCATATTCAGGTGGGCCTGGGAGCAAGGGCATACATGGGCAGTGTTGTGGCTGCCCCAAGGTAGGTGGGCCACCCTGCAGATGGCATGGCTGGGCTGAACCTTATTTCTGCTAGGCAAATGCTGAACTAGCAGTGCGAGACATGCTTCGGGCTTTTGGGACTTCCCGACAGGCCAGGGGCCTGCCCCTGGAGGTCTCTGCAGAGGATCACATGGACGACGGCTCCTCCATCTGCCTACATGTTCAAATCAACCTGAATCAGGTTTGTTTGGGAGGGAAGTAGGGCAGGCACTGGCTTCTGGGGTGAGGCCCATTCCATTGCTGATAGCCGCACCTTTTTTCTCCTGAGGGCAGGGCAGCGCCGTGTTTGACTTCAGTGGTTCCGGGTCTGAGGTGTTTGGCAATCTCAATGCCCCACGAGCCATAACACTGTCCGCTCTCATCTATTGCTTACGCTGTCTAGTGGGCCGTGACATCCCACTTAACCAGGTTCGTAGAGGTGTGTAGTCACCCTGAGGCTTGCCAGAAAACATAGGCAGCCCAATATGACCGGCGCCTAGGGTGGTGGGATTTTTATCTGAACGTGGGTAGTACCCAGCCCTAATTAACCACCTTGGTCATTCACCAGGGTTGCCTGGCTCCTGTGCATGTCATAATTCCCAAAGGCTCCATATTGGATCCATCCCCAGAGGCAGCAGTGGTCGGAGGCAACGTACTCACATCTCAGCGAGTAGTAGATGTCATTCTGGGGGCTTTTGGGGCCTGCGCAGCCTCCCAGGTGTGGCGGAGCAAAGTGGACGCAGGGCTAGGGGCTGCTGGGAAACAGGTCTGAGGGGGTAGATACGCCCACTAACTAAATGCTGTTATCTACTTCTACCAGGGCTGCATGAATAATGTGACCCTGGGCAATGCCCGTATGGGCTACTATGAGACAGTGGCTGGTGGTGCCGGCGCTGGCCCTGGCTGGCATGGGCGCAGTGGCGTACACAGTCACATGACCAACACACGCATTACGGACCCAGAGATTTTGGAGAGCAGGTGAGCTGAGCACTCTCAGTGCTAGGCAGTTGATCTGGGAGATGAGTCCGTGCTCATATGCGCTGTGCCTTTCACCTGCACAGGTATCCGGTTATCCTGCGCCGCTTTGAGCTGAGGCCAGGCTCTGGGGGACGAGGCCGCTTCCGGGGAGGTGATGGCGTAGTCCGAGAGCTGGTCTTTCGGGAAGAGGCGCTGCTGTCTGTACTCACCGAGCGCCGCGCTTTTCAGCCTTATGGCCTCCACGGTGGGTGGCTTCCCCAGCTCTTCTCGGCCTCTTTTGCTCTGCTGCCACCGTCTTAGGACCCCATCTTCCCTACCTCTACCTCTCTTGACCCCCAGCTCCTTGCTTTCATCTCCTATAGGGGGAGAGCCTGGTGCGCGTGGCTTAAACCTCCTGATCAGAAAAGATGGGCGTACAGTGAATTTGGGCGGCAAGACATCTGTGACCGTATACCCTGGGGTAAGAGAGGGAGCCTGCGTGTCGAACAGGGATACAAAAATTTAATTTGACTCCCAAAGGGAAATAGGTGGTTGGGTGATTGTGTCTTATCTGGGACAAGGCCACACCTGTGTTGAACTTGCTCTTCTTCGCAGGACGCGTTCTGCCTCCACACGCCTGGGGGTGGGGGCTACGGAGACCCGGAGGACCCAGCACCACCACCAGGCTCGCCCCCGCTATTCCCAGCCTTCCCAGAGCGTGGCAGTGTCTACGAGTACCGCCGCGCCCAGGAAGCTGTATGAGTGCCCCACAATAAAGATCCCTTGAGTCGCACGGTTATTGGGCTTCGCTCCCCACGGTGATCTTTCTCGATAGTCATTCCCTTGTCCATGCGCCAGCGTCAGGAGCATACAACTTGAAGCTTCAGACCCATAGCCAAGTGGTCCGTGAGTCCAGCAAAGGCAGTACTGAATGTCACCTGCTCCGCCTCCTGCGAGACAGATGTCAGGTTGAGAGCTGTTTTCAATTAGAGCAAGCCCAGCAGCCCCCAGTTCAGGCACTTACTGGACTCAGGCGACTCCCAAGTACTCCGCGGTAGGTGATATAGTCCAGACGCCGGCCCTTCCAGGGTTGAGCTGAGTAACTTCCATGAAGGGGTCCTCCCAGGTAGAGGCGGCGCCCTTTTTCATGCTCCAGGGCCCTAGGAGAGGGATTGCATCACGGAGTGCCTTCCAGCTGGCCTGCCTAGTAGTGCCTGGGCTCCAGGATTCCACTTACCTCCGAAGCATCTCTGGGGAGCTGGCAATGGAGTGGTGTAGCATATTGCTGTTCAAGATTGTCCCTGTGGAGTCCCGGGAGAGCAGAATCAGTGGCAGGCAGCTTTGCTGACAGACATCCCGACAGACCTGCTCTCCCACCTCCCCAGAAGCAGTACCCAAGGCCCAGGGCTGCTCCTGGCCAGCGCCTATCCGGCAGGGGTCCTGAAAACAGCTGAAGAATTTATGTCTCTGCTCCTTTGCATGATCTGTGGAGGAAAAACCGTTTTAGTGGGCAGAGCTGGGTCTCTTGGCTCCACCTGGGCCAGCTTCTTACCTTGTGAGTAGTTGTCAAAGTTCAGGTCTCCCAGGAGGACACTGAATGCTACTGCCTCACCACTCTGGTGGCTCTCGGCCTCGAACTCCTCCACCCATTCCAGCAGCAACGTCAGCTGTTCGCAGCGAATATGTCCATCCTCTAAGAGGAGAGATGGGGTTGACTTAGCCCAGAGTAGGGACCTAAGACTGTACCTGGGTCCTGCTCTGTAAACCACCCAGGCATTTCTTGGGGTGTCTGGGGCAGAGAACATTGGGACGTAGGGACAAACGTGTTGGTGAGGTTAAGGGACCTACTGCCCTCAAAGGAGAGAAGAGGGGCTACCCACATTCCAAACCCTTCTGCAGGGCTCACCAACGGGTGCCTGCAAATGTGTGCAATGAAGGTATCCCACGATGCGGCGCCCGTCCAGGATGCCTAGCTGCGCCTGCAACACCACCCATAGTTCCAGGTCTCCTTGCTCTCCCCGTGAAACCCACTGCTTACTCTCTCCCCGCTAGGTGTCATTGCACCCTGGGTTAATACCTGGACAGATAATAGACCTTTGGAGGCCATGGCGTCCTCGCGACGAGCGTTAGGAAAGCAACGGAAGGTGGCACGCAGCAGAGGGTAGCGGGAGGCCAGTAGGAGCCCACTGCCCAGTAACTTGATGTACGGGCCGGCTATTAAGCCAAATGTGCCCACATCATACAATACCGGGCCCAGATTTGGTACCAACATGCGCACAAGACGACGAGCTGCGCGGAGGTCGAACACTTCCTGCAGACACACAAAGTCCAAATCCATAGGCAATGTGGCCTTCAACATGCCACCAGGCACCTTAGGCAGCAGCTGGCTGCATTCGGTAGCCCGATACTTTGACAATCGAAGGCTACCTAGCAGTGCGGCCCCAATAGCCTCTGCGCGCTGCTGGCTGTGCGACAGGTTGTTAAAGTGTGCCAGCCCGTGGGGAAACAGGCACAGATTAGCAGTGAGAAAGACAAAGCAGCGCCGGCGCTCAGAAAGAGGGTGCCAGGGCTTTGGCCACACCCAGCATGCGGGAGGGGGCTGATAGCAGAATGGGCGGCGCCAGACCTGGAGGGGCAGCCAGAGCATAAGGCCGACCAACCCCATGGGTAGGCCGGCCACCACCAGCGGTAGCAATGCCCCACTTCCTGCCAGGACTTTGAGCCACCCCAAACTGCTGGATCGCACTGTTGGGGCCCAATAACCCAGCAAATGGTCCAGAGACCAGTAAGCCGGGAAGAGGAGCACGCGGGATAAACTGTAGAGGGCTTGCATCATGGGGTTCGGGAAAGGTGAAGGCCTCAGGGAGTCGGGGGTCGGGGGCCAGTCAGGTAAAGGCTCTTTGGATACAGGGCTCCTTCGCCGCGAAATGTCAGGGAGACTCATTGGTTTCCAGCGTGAGAGTTGAATCCTTAAGAGACCACACGAGCTGCCGGAGATCAAGACCAGGTGGCATAATCTGTGCGCGCAGCTAGTAATGGCCGGTGCTCCGCGAGCCTGAGTGCTGGTCACTGGCCCCACCCACTCAGAACTTCTGTGGCGGTTGGGAAAGAACAACAATTAAAAAAAAAAAAAACTGTAAAAGAAACCTGAGCTTTACAGTCCTGCCTTATCTCCTCCTCGTGCCTGTCAAGTCCACTTAGAGAGCAACTTAGGGCCCTGTCTGCTCTCCCCTCCCAACCCCTCCAACACACCTTACAGGTAGCCTCTCCATCCGGTGCCTGGCTCCTGAGTGCAGACTCAACACCGATGGCCTGCAAAAGCTGTCATTAAGGAGCAAGCCCGGGAGGGACCGTTAGTTCTACACTTTGAGGCCTCTTGCTCTACACTTTTGGGCAGTTTTGTCCAGACAGGTAAAAGTTAATTCTCCATTCTATGAGCCCTGTAACAGATTTAAGTTTTTTTTTAAAATTCTGTGATTTATTTATTTATTTATTTATTTGGGACAGGGTTTCTCTGTGACCCTGGCTGTTCTGGAACTTGCTCTGTAGACCAGGCTGACTTCTAACTCACACAGATCTGCCTGCCTCCAGATTGCTGGAATTAAAGACATGTACCAGCACCACCCAGCTCGACTTTAGGTTCTTGACATTGTCCCTTGGCTCTCACAGACTTTTCTTGGCTCCCCTTGGAAGTCTGACTCCTTAATTCCAGCTGTGAGCCAGCATACACCCTGACATCAACCGTCAGCGCCTCTTAAGTTGCCCATCAGGTTTGTCTTGGCTACCAGTCTTCACCCAGGTTGCCAGGATAGTCGTGGAGACGCTTTGGGTGAGGAAACTGTTAATGAGCTGTGTGGTCTGGGCAGAAGGCATTAAACTCTATGGAGCCCTGGGTATCCCAGCTGGAGGACTCCAGCACACCCCACACCTCTTCTAACCAGAAGTTTTATTGTTACTGATAGATTCTTGTTTGAATTCAGCCCTCAAGGCCCTGCTGTTCCTTGGCTGGCACACACTAGCTTTTTAAGTCCCTGGTCCTTTTATTCTTCTCTGTCTTGTCCTAGCACCTGTACCTCCAGGCAAGCCAGAAACTACCCCAGGCTTTTCCACACTGCCCCTTCTTATGAATCAACCTCATTTTGGTCTCCACTCTTCTGGTAACACCACGATGTTTCCAATCTCAGTCATTGATTCCACACACACACACACACACACACACACACACGCCCCCATTGGGGCTCAATTTTTTCTTTTTCCAACTCATGTTCTTTTTTTTTTCATTTATTTATTCAGTTTACATGCCCATTGATGTCCCTGCTCCTGGTTCCCACCACCACAATCCCTCACCCACTCCCCCCAGCCCATGGTTTTCATTCTCTGGTCAGTTCTGGTCTCCCATGCTTAGATAGAACTCATCCTTTTCCCAGACCTTGGACATCTTTACAAGGGGCTGCCATCTTCCTGGCTCCCCTGCCCAGGTTTGGATGAGGTGGCTTCTGGTTCTCCTACCTCTACTGTCCTGCCCCAAGGCCCTGAAGCTCCTTACCCCTTGTCTCCTCTAAGGACAGGGACACCCCCTCTTTCTGCATCATTCCTTCCCTCTTCCTGCTCCAACTCCCAGAACTTCTGCTTTCATTACCAAGTGAAAAGGGAATTTGGGGCCTTCCATTCAATCCCTTTAGATAGTGTCTGAGAGGTCTGTCTCTCCAGGGGGCTGTAATGTGCAAGTAGCCCCTCAGGGCTGGCAAGATTGAAGGGATCTGGTGAGGCACCCCACAGGAGCAGGAAGGTGTGGCATGGGTCCAGTGACCAATGTCTGTGGGAAACTTTAATGGCCATGCACAATGGCCTGCAGGGCGAAGTGAACCTGGGCCAGCCGGGCACCGGTGTTACCAGATGAACATAGGCTTGCCGTCGTCATGGGACAGCTGGTTGAGGCAGGAGAGCAGCAGGAGGGCGTCGGTGAGCATGCTGGGGTGCACCGTTTCCACTAGCACACGCTGCAAGAAGTCCACAGTGTAGGAGCCCCCTTCAGATGCTGCCAGCTCAGGCCTCTCACGCAAGATGCCGTACGCATTCACCAGCTGCTCTGTCAGTGCCGGATGCACCCGTCCGTTGTAGCCTAGGCTCTGCAGCCTGTTCATGATGCTCACGTAGCGCTGTGTGAGTGTCTGGCATAGGTCCTCATCCAACTTGTGGTTACTGGGGTTTAGGGAGGCCTGTTGGGGAGAGTGGCCATCAGGGACCTCCCACACCACTCTGGCTCACAGGCAGGCAGGAAGAAAAGGGGCAGAGGAAAGGAAGTTGTGAAGAATGGCTCATTATGAGGATGTCAAGGAAGGAGAAGCTGTGGTGCCCAAAAGGTCCAGAGGTCTGAGCCTGAGTTCAAAACCCAAAAACCCAACCTAGACAGGCCCAGAGACTTCCCAACGCTTCTAGAGACACACAGCCCACTGTTTTTTTCCTTCCAGGACTAGCTTAAAGCCACCAGGGATGGAGAGCAGGGAATGTGGCTTCCAGCATGGAGGCATAAGGAGTTCTTCATACTCCCAGGTTGCTGGACCTCAGAGTTTGCATGCTTTCCCAAGAGCTGATGGAAAGCTCTTAACCTGGAATGGCAGACACTGTTCTTACAGGACAGGAAGGTCTCTCTGAACGTCACCTTTCCCAAGGTCCCTGTGTAATCAAGGTACTTACATTTCTACCAAGCAAGTGGATGCTGACAGGCAGGTGGGACTTCCATGTGGGAAGAGGCATTTCCACATAGAAGGTGGGCAGGTCTCTGGGGAGCACTGGTTCTTCAGGGACAGCTATATTCAACCGGGGGCACCTGGATCTATCTGCTGTCTTGGGACTGGTGCCCATGGTATATCCACTGGGAAAGTCCCTTGGTGTGTTGATGTTTTTTTGGAGTAGTGCTGCAAACCCAATTTTATATCCTTCCTGGAGCTGAGGACCTTAGTATTACAATAAATCCTAATCTGTTTACATCAGTTGTTGTCTGCAACCAAGCACACTGGATGATTTGCCTAAGAAAGCAAATCTGTCCAGTAGATAGGGGCACAATAAAGAAGACTGGTGTTCTTATCAGGTAGATACAGAAAAGGTGGTCTGTGTGATTTGTTGCTTTATATATTTTTCAAAAAGATGTAGCCAATGTAATCTGTGATAAGGAAAGAGTTGAGGCTTGGTAGAATACTACCCTTTACACGATGCCCTGGGTTTGACACCAAGCACCAGGAGAAGAAGAGGAGGAGGAGGGGAGAAGAAAGGTGAAGAAGAGGAAAAGGAGGAGGTTGGGGGGAAGGGGAGGGGGAGGGGGAGAGGAGGAGGACTGACTTTGGTTCCCAGCACCCATGGCAGGGTAACTTCCAACTCCAGCTCATGTGGGACAGTGGATGGTGCTAAGAAACTTAGTAAGGTTGAGTGGGTCCGAGACCCTGGCACCTAAGCACCCCCCTGAGATGGTAGACAACTCCCTGCTCCTTACTAGATTCCTGGCCTGGAACCCGTGACCACAGTCCCCACATCACTCACAGTCACTTAGCCCAGAACAGATTTCTCCATGCCAATGAGGTATCTAGAGGCCCTGAGGATTTAGCCAATAAGCTTTCCTTCCTGGGCATTCCTTCCTGCAAAAGGTTATTTAATCTCTGGCCCACTCTGAGGAGTTGGTATGCACCCATTTTACACGAACGATCAAACAGTTTGGAACTAAAGACTGTCTCATCAAAAAACGCTGAGGGGAGCTTGGAGAAGGCCTTCTACAGAGCTGCACTGCCTAAGCCTCCCACAGAAGCTCCCTCTGTGCCCCCAGACAATCTCTGCCAAGCTAAGGACTTTCATCCATGGGCTAAGCTGGAGTTCCCATTCTCCTGGCTCAGGGCTCATCATCCTCAGTCTGTGGGCCCCCAACTCTGTTTCCAGGGAGCCTCCCAGTCCCAGGCTCTTCACCTTCAGCCTCCCACGTCCTAGGCTGCATTTTGGCACTGTGCTCGAGCCCTGTACCCGACAGCAGAGGCACAGGGTAAACACAGTCTAGCACTCTGCCTTCCATCTACCCAGTACCTGGGCAGCAGGGTGAAACGCAGCTCCGCAGCTCCAGGGGAATGTGGCACCTCTGACCTTAAGGGCGCCTACACTCACACACACTGATCCACACACAGACACACTATACATAATTAAAAATATTAAAAGTGAAAAAGATCTGAGTATAAAGATATGTGCAACCTGATTATACAACACGCTTACATATGTGTCTTATCATATGGTACCACATTAGGGGGTATGATTGCATATTTTGTTTTGTTCTTGTTTAGTTTTCTTCTCCTTTCTTTTGAGATAGACTTTTGTGTAGCCTAGGCTGACCTAAAACTTGTTATGTAGCTAAGTGTGACTTTGAGCTCCTGATCCTCCAAGTCTCTGCATCCTTGTGTGATGGTTTGAATACGATTGGCCCAGGGAGTGGCAGGCACTGTTAAGAGGTGTGGCCTTGTTGGAGGAAGTGAGTCACTGTGGGGGTGGGCTTTGACACACTCCTCCTGGCAATATGGAAGCCACTCTTCTCTTGTTTGCCTTTGGAACAAGACGTAGAACTCTCAGCTCCCAGTCCAGTGCTATGCCTGCCTAGAAGCTGCCATGCTTCCTGCCGTGATGACAATGAACTGAACCTCTGAGCCTCTAAGCCAGCCCCAGTTAAATGTTGTCCCCTGTAAGAGTTGCCTTGGTCATGGTGCCTGTTCACAGCAGTAGACCCTCACTGAGACAGCTGTGTTCTGGGATGGAAGGCATGTAGTACCACATCTGGTTTGTGTAGTACCACATCTGGTTTGTGTAGTACTATTGGGCAAGTGTCCCACCAGCTGAGCTATATGGAAGCACTGATTTTTATGGTTTTTATCTATCAGTTTCCATATATCAATTTTTATGAAATATACTTAATGTCTTGGTTCAACATTAATAAAAACATTATGTGTCAGTCCTTGAGCATGTTCACACGAATGCAGAGTCCCACACAGGCCAGGGGTTTTGGAAGCCTTTGGGGTTAGAGTTGTAGGTGGTTATGAGTCACCAGATATGGATTCTGGGAATTGAACCTGGGTCCTCTGGAAGAGCAGTACATGTGCTTAGCCATAGAGCCCTCTCCCCAGCCCAATATTTAAAAAATTAAAAGAATATCTGGACATGGTGGCTAATGCCTATACATATAGAACTAGAGACTGAGACAGGAACATTAACTCAGGTTCAAGGCTAGCCTGGGCTAGTATGAGTCCAACTAGGGATACATACACACTAAGGCTTTGTCTCAACAAGTAAGTAGTAAGTAAATCATTCATTCATTCATTCATTCATTCATTCACTTATCCTCTGAACACAATGGTGCGTGCTTGTCATCCCACAGATCTCAGAGATCACAGGGGAGGGATCACAGCAAGTTTTGAGACTAGTCTGTGTCAGCTAGGCTACTTAACAAGAACTTGTCTCAACAATCAAAATATATAAAAATAAAAGGACATAGAAGGTGAGTATCCTCAGGAGGCTGAGGTAGGAGAATCATAGGTTTGAGGCTTAAAAGACTTTTATCAAAAGGGTAGATTGAATATAAGCAATATGATTGTTACCAAGAAAAATCAAGTTGATATACAGGTTCTCAGAATGCCTAAGAGGGCTTGGATACTTAAGGTAGCTTGGATACCAAATCAGTATATAAAAGTGAAATCATTCTCAGGAGCCCGTAAGGGGTGGTCAAGGCACCCCTTGCCACTCTACATGGCCCTAGTCACTCTCACATGGACACGGCTGGACTCAAGACCCCTAGGATTAGGGTGCTAAGAGGAAAAGTACTCTAAACATCTCCCAAAAAGTTCTTCACAACTAAGTAGGAAGAATGAGAACAGAGTGCTGTGACCCACTTGGAGTCGGGTTTAAATGACAGCATAACTGGGCTGGAGAGATGGCTCAGCCATTAAAATCATGTACTGTTCTTGCTGAGGATCAAAGTTTAACTCCCAGCACACGTGTTATGCAGTGGTTCACAACTACCTGTAACTCTGGCTCAGGGGATCAAATACCTCTGGCCTCTTCCAGCACTTAAACTTACATACACATACACCACCACCACTAGCACCCCACACATAAAAATATAGATGGGTGAAACTTAGGAGAAAAAGACACAGTGGTATCAGACATAATAGGTGCCTGTAAATCTAATCAGGAGGAAGAGGCAGAAGGATCACTATAAGTGTTAGGGCAACCTGGGCTATGTAGCAAGCCCTTGGCAAGCTTGGGTTACACCTTGAGAAAAACAAGCCAAAACACACAGACAAACACACACACACACACACACACCCAAAAACCCCAAACAACACCCCCCCCCAAACCAACTCAACCCAAAGGATAGTATAACTGCACGATCTAATAAAAAAGACACCCAGATTCGGGGTCCTTGTCAAACAAAAATCTCCATTAAATTTCAACCCACTGAACCCATACAGCCTTGGAAAGTGAGTGGCTTGTAGGACAATCGCAGGGTCGACTAGTTTTAGCGGGTCTAGAATTTAGGGATTCCTCTCGTTCATGCTTCCCTCTCAAGCATGCTGTGGGAAGAGGTCCAGCCTCTCATAAAGCCAGATGCAGTGGAATTCCTCTAATCCCAGCCCTTGGAGGTAGAGACAGGAGGATCAGAAGTTTAAGACCACCCTTTGCTAATGCCAACTACCCCTTGGTATCTTGTGCTCTCTGTTGCTGCATCACTTGCCCCTCTTTGGTTGAGTTTGTGGCTGATGGTTTTCCTCCGAAAGCCCAGTTACGTTGCCATCTTGTCATATAGAATAAATGTGTAGGGACTCTGGCTAGTTCGAGTGTGCCAAACATGGCTCAGGCAGGCCTTGCCCTTCTCCCCCATCCCCTCTGTCTTGCTAAGAACCTTTAGATTACATTCCTAAAGCTAGCCCCCAAGGTCCCCTTATTTGGCCACTTCCTCTTCTTGAGGCTAACTACGGAGGTCCAGCTATTAAAGTGTTGAAGTCCAGCAATCAAAAAAAAAAAAAAAACCCCTTTGGCTCACTCAATTCACATGCCCAGTCAACACGCCACCACATCTTAGCCCATCATAACACACGCCCTCTCCTTTTTTCTCTTCTTACAGTCTCCATCAAAATGGACAAAGAGAACTGGACCCGGACAGACTAGAGAGCCCTCTTAGATGCTGGGCATCTTCCTTGCCCTGGCAGCTCTGAGCTCTGAAAGGCTGTATCGACTGACCATTAAGGAACTCCTTTGAGATCTCCATAGACAGGCTGTGCCCCTTAAAAGTAAAGCACTCATTTTCTTCTACCGTCATGGCCACACAGTCCTGTCTCCTTGTCATTTTCCTCTCATCGCTCAGTCCCAGGGGCTGCCCCTCTAGCTCTAGAGTCATCCTGATGCAGTGAGTACTCTGTGTCTTGGTGGTCTCTGGAGTCAGTCAGGTGTTTTCCTGCTGGAGGGAGGGTATGTACCACCTGATAACTTCTACCGTGATCGCTTACTGAAGAGTCAAAGACTCAGAACAAAACACCTTGAGGGGATATTGAGAAGGCTCAGCTGTTTAAAGCTCTTGCCGCTTTTCCTGAGGACCAGATTTTGGTTCTCAGCACCCACTCCAGGAAGCTCACAACTGAGGAGATCTGGCCTCTGTAGACAACACTCCCACGCTTGCATACACATAATAAAAGAAAAATCTTTAAGAAGAGTTTTTTTTTAAGCCAGGTGGCGGTGGCACACACCTTTAATCCCAGCACTTGGGAGGCAGAGGCAGGTGGATTTCTGAGTTCGAGGCCAGCCTGATCTACAGAGTGAGTTCCAGGACGGCCAGGGCTACACAGAGAAACCCTGTCTTGAAAAACCAAAATAAATAAATAAATAAATAAATAAATAAATAAATCCTTAGGAGAAAAATGTTGACTAAGGAATACAAAATAGTTTCAGGAATTTCTGCTTAGGGAAAGATTTTTTTCTTTTCTTTTTTTCTTTTCCCAAGATAGTATTTCTCTGTGTAGCCCCTCACTGTCCTAGACCTCACTTTATAGACCACCCAGCTAGAGGAAGATTTCTTAATTGAGACAATACAAGTAACATGAGCAAAGACTGACATTTCTGAACACATCAAAATTAAGCATCCAGGCATGATGGAGCATGCATTTAATACCAGCAATTGGGAGGCAGAAGCAGGCAGAGCTCTGTGAGTTCAAGGCCAGCCTGGTCTACAAGATTATAAAGTGAGTTCCAGGACAGCCAGAATTACACAGTGAAACCCTGCTTTAAAAAAAAAAAAAAAAAAAAAAAAAAGCACCGGGCAGTGGTGGCAGAGTGGAGGTAGAGGCAGGCAGATTTCTGAGTTCGAGGCCAGCCTGGTCTACAGAGTGAGTTCCAGGACAGCCAGGGCTACACAGAGAAACCCTGTCTAGAAAAACAAAACAAAACAAAACAAAACAAAACATCTAATAAATGGATGCTTTATCCAAGAAAAGGCAAGCTCAGAGTCAGCCTGTGTGATCAGACCCAGGTGCAGGCATGTTGAATTTGTACACAAAGGTGGCCTAAGAGAAAAAGCAGCTGGCAACCCGGGAAGCCATTTTCCCCCTAAGAAAAGCTCAAATAGCCTATATGCAGGGATAGGCCCTGCATTGTCTCACATGACAAATTCTGAACACACTTCTGGGTATCTAGCCAAGTGCAGACCCATCACCACAGTCCTGACCCCCTTGCCAGTGCTGTCTGCACCTGTAAAACACAGGGGTACAGTGACACATTCCAGTGCTCTGTGAGCTCTGGGATCTGTGTTCCCTGTGGTCTCCAGTGAGCATCGGAGATGCTGAAGGCAACCGGCCATAGAATTCTTTAGATTTGTCGGCTCATCCCCCAGGAGTTGGTGCTGCCTATCCAAAGATTATCTAGGAGGCAGAAGAGGAATGCTCCCGGCCCATTGGAGGAAACCCCATCCTTCTCTCTTCTAGAGTCTGTAGATCTAGAAGATGGATCGTGGGCTTCCATTACTGGGTGCTCAGGACACCTCACAGCTCCCTGCACCAAGCTCTGTGCTCCTTCCATCTCAGAGTCCCCTTTAAATGCCTGGTCCTTCAGTACTGACTGAGCTTACTGCCCCATGTGTGATGGCCCCTCTGGCAATGTGTAGACAGCCACACACCTGGATGATCTTCTCTGGAATGTTGGAGACAGTGAAGCCGTAGAGACGCACACGCTCTGGGAAGATGCTGGACAGGATTCTTCGGTCTAACTGGAAGGCGATTTCCCCCACTAGCCTCTCACAGGCTAGCTGTTTTGAGTCTGGAAATGACAGAGAGTCTCAGCTGAGCAATAAGTGGAGGGAGTGGTGGGACTGCGGTTAGCAGCCCGAGTATGTGATAAGGGAGCGGGCACCATACTCACATTGACCCCCTGTAGTGTTACTGACCTCGGGGACTGTCAGGTAACTTGTTAGACTTTCGGTGGGGCATCTTCCGCTCCATCTCCAGGACATTCTTCCGAGACTGTTCCTTCACGCGTGGACCTCGGGTGTCATTGACTGAAGCCGAAGAGGATGAGGTGCGGGGCGGGGAGGGGTGGTTGCGTGGAGGAGAATGGGGGTTGGGCACAGGTCAGGTAAGGGATTGGTGCACCCTGGAGGGGGAGTTGGAGTGGGAGTTTCTTGAAGGGGAACCGTTTTCAGCAGCTTGGGGGGCAGGAGCTGGGGCAGAGTTGGGGACTGTGCAAGGAGGAGAGCCTGTTGGAGACCTTTGGACAGAAGTGAGGGGCATTTGTCCCTGGGAAACACCAGTCTGAGTCCGAGTATCCAAGGTGGCATTTGCTGTGGGACTGGATGTGGCCATGGTACTCCTAGGGGTGGTGGTCTGGAGGGGTGCACCCGCAAACGTGTCGAGGGGCTCTGGGTTCTGGCTCGGCTGGGGGTGCTCACTGGTGACTGGGATGTGGAGGAGTGGAAATGAGAGGACGAGTTAGAGTGAGGCAGGATGGGAGCAGGAATCGGCCTACCCAGGGTGCCCAATTACCTTTGGAGGTGGGAGCTGGTCCTGCATAGGCTGAGGTTCCAGAGAGGTTTCCTCGGGGTGGCTCTGCCAGCCGCACTCTTGGTGCCTCTGACAGCCCTACGTTGTTTATGGTGTTGGGCAGTATGTTCTGAGAAACACCTAGAGGGGTAGCTGTGGAGGAGAGCAGGGGGCTACTTAGAGAGACTGCCACTGTGCCTGCCAGGGGAGCCATGATGGGGCTGCTCTGAGATACAGCCAGGGGGCCTAAGAGCCGGCTGCTTGTTGTCAAGGAACCGGTTGAGGTCAGGCCCAGTGAGCTGGCCAGAGTGGTCCCCGGAGGTACAGACATGGGATTGGCCATTTGACTGTTCAAGGGTCCAGTCGAGGGTAAACCCAGAGAGCTGGCCAAGGTGACCCCCGGAGAAACTGTAATAGGACTGGTCAGTTGATTGCTCACGGGGCATGGCACAAGATTGGCAAACTGGCTGTTCTGCGACAAGGGTATCTGGCCAGACAGCAGTGGGTTGAGAGGAGCAGCCAGGGGGTTCACAAGGGAGCCTGCTGCCGGGCTGAGCTGTGGGGTGTTCAACACGTCAGCCAGAGGTGTCAGTGCCACCATTCCCATGTCTTCTGCGCAGGGGTCCTTTGCTGCTGCTGGGGCTGGGGGCAGGAATACACCTGTGGATACAGAAAGAACACTAAGACCCCAGTTAAGCCCCTCTAGATGCAAGTGAGAGACACTCAATGAGCATGTCTGTCTGCTGAGCTAGCTGGTTTGAACTGCCCTCTTTGGGCTGGATGAGGGCATCTGTGGGGGTAGCAGAAGCATTCAGCACGGAGAACATTCTGTGTCACTTTAGAGAGTTCTGGATGTAGGTCTGCCCTCTTTTCTCTCAGTCCCTGAGGCTTGCTGCTCAGACCCAACGCTCTAGTCAGAACGCTGAGTCTCTTACTTGACACTTGCCCTTCCATCCATAGGATGTTCCAACTGCCGGTCTCCACTTCAGTGAGCTGCCAACCTCACATCCAGGAGAAGAGCGGCTCCTAGTGGTTGTACTTTCAGACAGCTAACCTGGCTCTTTGCTTTCCAGCCTGGCCTTAACCTTGTAGAGAGTCACGTACCTACTGGTAGGACCTCCGAGGGTCCAACCACGTGGCCTAGGGCCACACATAGTCTACTAGAGTAGGGGTGCAGGTTCTTGACAGCTAGTTGGACACAGCCATCACCCAGAGAGGCTCAGAATCATTGCTGGCTATCTTTGGACTCCTGTAGGGGAATGGGGCAGAGATCTTATTCTTCTTGGCTTCCGGAACAGACTTCCCTTAATGACTTTTGGGAAGGAAATCCCTCGGAGACACAGTTGCTACAAGGGCAGAGTGCAGAAGAGTTTTTGTAACTATACAATGCAATAATTGGAAAAACAACTTTGATTTTGCTGAGCTGGAGAGGTAGCTCAGTGGTTAAGAGCACTGGCTGCTTGTCTAAAGAACCTAAGTTTGATTCCTAAAACTTTCTCGGCAGGTCACAACGGACTATAACTCCAGTTCCAGGGAATCCAATGTCCCCTTCTGGATTCTGCGGGTACTGCATGTATGTGGTGCACAGACACACATGCAGGCCAAACACTCATATACCTAAAATTAAAAAAAGAAAGAAAGAAAGAAAAAGAAAAAACAACTTTAAAACAAAACAACTCATTAAAAAAAAAAACTACTTTGGGCCGGGCAGTGGTGGCACATGCCTTTAATCCCAGCACTTGGGAGGCAGAGGCAGGCGGATTTCTAAGTTCAAGAGTTTGAGGCTAGCCTGGTCTACAGAGTGAGTTCCAGGACAGCCAGGGCTACACAGAGAAACCCTGTCTCGAAAAACAAAAAACAAAACCAAACCAAAACAAAACTACTTTGGAATCTACCCCTTTAAAAGGATTTTCACTGCTGGGTTTACTGGGTTACTTTTAATCCAACACTGGGAAGCAGGGACAGCTGTTCAACAGCCTGCTTTACAGGGTAAGTTCCAGGACAGTCAGAACTATACAGAGAAATCTTGTCTCACGTGTGTGTGTGTGCGTATATGTGTGTGTGTGCTCTTGTGTGTATGTGTGTGTGTGGTGGATGTGCACACACAGGCTCTCATGGATGTCAGAGGCTTCAGATCTACTGCAGCTGGAGTTACAGGTGACTGTCAGCTGCGTGATATGGGTGCTGGGAACCAACTTTAGGTTCTAGTCAGAGTAGTCTGTGATCTTAACCTCTAAGTCATCTCTCTAGCCCTGAATATGCCCTTAATTTTTGTTGTTGTTGTTGTGTGATGCTCGTGATTGATCCCAGGGCATCAAGCATGTGTGGTAAATATTCTGTTACTGCGCTGCTCAGTCATCCTTATTATGATAAAACAGTACATGATTATTATAGGGAAGGAATAGAGATGCAGAAAAAATATGAACTGCTAATAGCCCATCTCACAGTTTGACAATCTCATCACCTTGGAGACTGTCTCTACCTATGTGTTTTACACAAGTCATGGGCTGGAGGGTTGGCAAGGACTTCCTGAAAGGGGACAAAGCCACCTGGCTTCTGCCATGACTATTCAAGCTACCATTTTAGTGTGAAAGTAGCCCAAAACACTAGAAGCTAGACAGTCTCCATGGCCAAACAGGAGATACCAGCATGAGGCAGCCCCACTGGGACAGAAGGGCTGTCAAGTGGCAGACATGGTGTGTGGAGTATGTGGGAAAAGAGCCTGAACACAAGACCCATGGCCCCCAGAACTGAGCACCTGCCGTACTGCATCAGGGTCATGCTCACCTTGTGACACTTCTATCAGACCTTGGTGCCTCTATGAAGAATATTTAAAAGGCCTTGTGTTGCTGGGCGGTGGTGGCGCATGCCTTTAATCCCAGCACTTGGGAGGCAGAAGCAGGCAGATTTCTGAGTTCGAGGCCAGGGTGGCCTACAGAGTGAGTTCCAGGACAGCCAGGGCTACACAGAGAAACCCTGTCTCGAAAAACTTAAAAAAAAAAAAAAGAAAGAAAGAAAATTGTTAAAAAAAAAGAAAAGAAACCCTAATAAAAATTTCTTTAAAAAAAAGAAAAAGAAAAAAATTGTTTTTTAAGAAAAAAAAAAACCCTAATAAAAGGCCTTGTGGTGGTTTGAATGAGAACACACAGACAGACAGACAGACAGACACACACACACACACACACACACACACACACACACACACCTGCCCCCCACAGGCTCATATGTTTGAACAGTTGGTTCCTAGTTGGTGGAAGTTTCGGGAAGGGTTAAGTGTGGCTTCGTTGGAGGAGGTGTCACTTGGGACAGTCTTTCAGGTTTCAAAAGACTTCCAGCCTTTCCCAGTGTGCTCTCTGCCCCCTGCTTACTGTGAGACATGAGCTCTCAGCTGCTCCTGACTGTGTGTGAGCCACCATCACAGACTCTAACCCTCTGGATCTCTAAACCCGATTCAACACTTTCTTTTGCTTTCCTTACTTCTTTCTTTTCTCCTCCTCCTCCGATTCTCCCTCCTCTCCTTTCTCCTTTTCTTCCTCCTCCTCTTCCTCCTCCTCCACCTCCTTCTTTTTGTTGTTATTTTTGAGACAAAGTCTCTCTATATAGCTCTGGCTATTCTGGAACTTACTCTGTAGACCAGGCTGTCTTTAAATTCACAGAGATCCACCTGCCCCTGCCTTCCAAGTGCTGGGACTAAAGGTATGCACCAACCCCTCTCCTCTCCCCTGCTAAAATCTAGGGCTCTTCGATAATCACATTCTATGTAGACTTCCTAAAAGAAGAGCTGACAGAAAGCAAAAGAATCAAATACCTAGGGTGGGTAGAGGAGGTGACCAGGAAATGGGATATCATTTGAGATGTAAATGAATGGAATGATTAATAAAAAATTAAAAACCAAAAAAAAAAAAAGAATTAAAAGAATCAAGGATCAGTACTGAAGGATACAGTGGACTGTAAGATATAATAAAATAAAATAGTGACTAAGACTAGACTTTGATTAAATAAGTGAATTATTCTTGGGGTTTGTGTGTGTTTTCACTATTTTCATTATGCAAATTTGGACTTTTCTTCTCCCTCCCCACAACGATTATTGTAGACTGGTGAGTTCATCCAGGAAAAATGCCTGCTGCTGAGCCAGATAGCCTTAGTTCAATCCCTGGGACCCATGTGGCGAGAGAGAGAGAGAGAGAGAGAGAGAGAGAGAGAGAGAGAGAACCAACTCCTTGTAAGTTGTCCTCTGACCTCCACATGCATGCTATGGTATGTATGCCTTCTCCTAAACAAACAAATAAGTATACATGTAATAATGTATTACAGATATATAGCAATGCGTTAATAGAATATAAAATGTATACATGTAAATAATTACTTTTGTAAAAAGGAAAGAAATAGCCGGGCGGTGGTGGTGCACTCCTTTAATCCCAGCACTTGGGAGGCAGAGGCAGGTGGATTTCTGAGTTCAAGGCCAGCCTGGTCTACAGAGTGAGTTCCAGGACAGCCAGGGCTACACAGAGAAACCCTGTCTCAAAAAAAACAAAAACCAAAAAAAAAAAAAAAAAAAAAAAAGATATCAAACAGTAATGGGATGGGGTTAAAATGATAATTAAAAAATAATTTGTCTATTTGCATTTAAATAAGAATGATGAGGAAAAAAGGTTAATTGATACTTAAAAGGTTAATTAATATAAAGGTTAAAAAATTTCCTTTGGACATATAATGCCTGGCGTGCCCATCTGAGTTCCAAGAAATGAAGTCTCAGGGCTGGAGAGATGTGGCTCGGTGGTTAAGGGCACTTGTCAGCCACTCTTGCAGCTTCCAACCATCCACATAGCGGCTCCCAGCAATCCAGAGGACCCAAAGCCCTGACTGAGGTCACCAGGTATGCTTGTGGTACTCATATATACACTCAGGCAAAACAGAAGTACAAGTCAATAAATAAACACTTTTGAAAACAGTCTCAAGAGGACTCCAGAGCAAAAGAAACTATGCAAAGAGCTTGGAGACACTTGCTTGCTATTATTTATTTCAAATTGCCAGCTAGAGAAACCTATTTTTGGTGCCCAAAAGATAGCTCAGAGAGGTAAACATGCTTACAGCCAAGCATCACAATCTGAGTTCAATCCCTGGGGCTCACAAGGTGGGAGGGTGGAGGTGACTTTCACAGTCTGTTCTTTTGACTTCCACATGTCTGCCTCTTCAAGTAAATGAGTGTGAGATTAAAAAAAAGGCAGAAGTCTGTTTTTAAATGCATTTTGTTTTTTTTTCTCCTGGTTCTGTTTCTTTTGTCTTGAGTAGATCAAGCAAAAACAAAACAAAGCAGCATTCCTACACAAAGATACTTGTACATAGGGCCAGAGGAATGACTTGCCTATTACATGTGAGAATGTGGAGCCTCCACCACCAAAAATCCCCAACTTGTGCACAAATGATTGTAGAGGAATTATTCATAAAAGCTTAAAAAAAAGAGAAACAAGCCGGGTGGTGGTGGTGCACGCCTTTAATCCCAGCACTTGGGAGGCAGAGGCAGGCAGATTTCTGAGTTCAAGGCTAGCCTGGTCTACAGAGTGAGTTCCAGGACAGCCAGGGCTACACAGAGAAACCCTGTCTCGAAAAACCAAAAAAAAAAGAAAGAAACAACTCAAACCTAAATGTCTGCAGACTGG